ATGTTCAAGAAACCAATTTGAAATGATTCGAGCTTTGTGACATGGTGCATTATCCTGCTGGAAGTAGCCATCAGAGGATGGGTACATGGTGGCCATAAAGGGATGGACATGGTCAGAAACAATGCTCAGGTAGGCCGTGGCATTTAAACGATGCCCAATTGGCACTAAGGGGCCTAAAGTGTGCCAAGAAAACATCCCCCACACCATTACACCACCACCACCAGCCTGCACAGTGGTAACAAGGCATGATGGATCCATGTTCTCATTCTGTTTACGCCAAATTCTGACTCTACCATCTGAATGTCTCAACAGAAATCGAGACTCATCAGACCAGGCAACATTTTCACAGTCTTCAACTGTCCAATTTTTGTGAGCTCTTGCGAATTGTAGCCTCTTTTTCCTATTTGTAGTGGGTCTTCTGCTGTTGTAGCCAATCCGCCTCAAGGTTGTGCGTGTTGTGGCTTCACAAATGCTTTGCCGCATACCTCGGTTGTAACGAGTGGTTATTTCAGTCAAAGTTGCTCTTCTATTAGCTTGAATCAGTCGGCCCATTCTCCTCTGACCTCTACCATCAACAAGGCATTTTCGCCCACAGGACTGCCGCATACTGGATGTTTTTCCCTTTTCACACCATTCTTTGTAAACCCTAGAAATGGTTTTGCGTGAAAATCCCAGTAACTGAGCAGATTGTGAAATACTCAGACCGGCCCGTCTGGCACCAACAACCATGCCACGCTCAAAATTGCTTAAATCCCCTTTCTTTATTCGGACATTCAGTTTGGAGTTCAGGAGATTGTCTTGACCAGGACCACACCCCTAAATGCATTGAAGCAACTGCCATGTGATTGGTTGATAATTGCATTAATGAGAAATTGAACAGGTGTTCCTAATAATCCTTTAGGTGAGTGTACATGTGGCAAACAAAGAGAACTAATAAGTTAATTTACGACACACAGCTGAACCAAATGAACTAATGAAGACGGTGTTGATGGAAACAAGGAGTGGCGGGAAATTGAACAAAATGAACACAGAAGGAAGCCCAAAAACAAACAGACATGTAACAATAAGGTTTGGTATGGGGCAGGTTAAGGGTTAGTCCCTAGTTACTAACCAGTTATTGTAATTACTATAGTAAGTTCATAGTATGTACATGGGGACCAGAACTGTAAAAGGAAGTGCTGCCGCTTAAATATGGATTCAAAGTGAATGATAAAAAATGTAAACATTAAAAATGCATAAACATAAACATTTATATTTGATATATATTTTTACATGTACATAGCCAGTTATAGACATCCGATAACATCAACATTTTAAATATTTAATCACTCACACAAAAATATATAAACACATATACATATTGAAATGTTAATTAAAACATGATGTTGAGATGTGATGAGGTGCAATTTGTGATGAGCCTAATTTATATAGAAAGGAGTGATAAAAACTCACTGCATTGGTATTTCCAGTTATTTAGCAGCCTGTTAAACTGGATTGTGGGACTATAAGTTACAATCCTTAAACACAGCATCCAGAGAGAGCCATACCCCTCAATTATCTTCCCTTACACAACTGTACGACAATAATTCCTAACTTAAGAATTAGATTGCAATCAGAAAGAATTACAAAGCCAATTACAATTCGAATGCAGTGGGCTGATGGTCTGTGGACCAGACATGAAGAGTGATACAGTTACCGCAGCATCAGACAAACATGCATAAACAGTCAATTGTTAGAGCTATATTAAAAGCCTTATAGGGTTTGCTTGCCTGCTTGCTTTAATATTGCTTTTGAGGGCTGGCTAAAAGGAAGAAACTAAGGGGAGGATTCATGTCATCCATACGGGGCATGTTAACAACCACAGCCACATTTCCTATTGATTCATGGCAGAGAATTCATCCCTCACACCCACATACAAGACTGGAGGTGAAAAATACATACACTTGCTTATAAAATATATAGATCTGCACTCAGAATCATGTACACACTCTTATTGACACTTGTGCATGTTTTTTTTTTTACCTCAGGCAATCCACAAGCAAGAGGGACTGAACAAGTTCACCGAACAACAGATGAAGGAAACAGTTAATCAATATGCATGAAGGAAGAGAAACAGACAGAGAGAAAAAGAGAGAAAGAAAGACTGGAAAATAAAAAGGATACGCTCTGTCTGTTTCCCAAAATAAACGTCCGTTCTTCATTCAGTTCAGTCATTATGCACTGACCCTTGATTTAAACCCGTCCACTTCAGCAAAGTGAAACTCTTACTTTTTGAAGAATAATGGAAACACCACGGTAAGAATAACATCTAAACAAGCTCAGCAAGTAGATGGGTGCTCAAGCAGCAACATTTCTTGTAATTGCTTGGGGAAGTCCAAACCAACAACCATAAACCCCTCAAATTTCCTATCAAATCGAATAAGTCTGCATGAAAGCACTGTACACAAACACGCTAACTTTTTTTCTTTTTTTTTTACCAGAATGCACTTTAAAACCTTTCCTTTCATGCGTGCTAAGTTTAAAGTGAAGGAATAAAACAACATGCAGACTATTTCTGACAACCCAGGACTAAACAACTGTGACATTTGCATAACCCAAGGCATTTGCAATTACAATTCACCAATTAGGACATCAGAAGCTTTGTGAGAAAGCAGGCCCTCATTATGAACCCAAGAATCATACCAAGTGGGTCAGACAAAACAACACAAAGCAGGTTGGTTTAAACTTGAGCCAGAAGAAAAAAGCTGAAGCACTGATGAGGAGAGAGTGTTGCTGGTATAGTTTGGTAAAGACAGTTTTGTGCAAACCAAACAGGAACAAAGTTGGTTTGCACTAAATAATAAGTACATTAATCAACTAAAATAAATCAACAGTCAAGCTACAAACAAAAAGTGGCTCATATATCATTTTTTAAGTGATTCTTTCTCCAGATTTCTTCATTAACTCAACTGATTCATTCAAACACACTGATTCATTGTCCTTAAAAGTGAATTATTGAATCATTCACTCATCAGATTCGGTCAACAACACTGATTATTTTAGGAACTAAACAACTGACTATCTTTATGAATGAGTCACTGAATCATTAAGTCAACCAATTCATTTTAACACAGTGATTCATTCAGTGATGAAACAAACGATTAAAAGTTATTCACTCATCCGGTCCATTCAAATACATCAACTCGTCCTTATAAGTGAGTCATTGGATCATTCACTCATTCATTCGGGTTGACTATTTCTGTGTCCCAATTAGGGTTGGGTACCGAAACTCGGTGCCAATAGGGAACCGGTTCCGACGTAAACGGTAGTAACCAGACCGAATAAGAAAGAAAATTTCGGTGCCTGATTTCGGTGCCTAACTTCATTAGGCACACACGCGCACACACACACACACAAGGTCTCTCGCTCTCTCTCTCTCCGCCGTGCGTGTGCTACACAGTTTGGAGCACAGTTTCTTCTGTCTCGCATGCGCGCTCTTTCTCGCAAGGTTTGGCTGCATTTCACGTGTAAAATTACGTGTCAGAACGCCCTCTGGGTGTGCCGATAGTCTGAATCCCATATAGAATCAAGCCAATTCATTGGCTGATGGCGCCGCATCGACGCACTTACGTCGTCATACTATGCTGTCGCGCGCGCGCCATCTGCTCCTCAGATTTCTCTGCCGAAAAAGGAAGCTGGTCGGCAGCGCGAGGAGCTTGGCTGCGTCCCGTTCCCTATTGAGAGATATGTTACACCAACCAGAGATGTTCTCTTTCATAGGTTCACTCAACGCTGCATAGCTAAGAAGCAGTGGATTTGTAGGCTGCTGTATCACGTGCCGTTTGAACTGACGCGCTACAGCGATCTGTCACATTTCAAAGAGCCAAAACGTTATTTATTGTGTGAATCTCGTAAAAATATTGACAGAATCTGACAGCTGTGGATTTGTTCCATATCAAAAGTAACCTTCTCTGTCTTGTCTGTCAGTGTCCTCTTTGTCCGTGATTTTTCTGTGTGAAAAGGGTCATTTGCGTGAGTCTCACGGTCAATGCGTGAGAGTTGGCAGCTCTGCCTGCTAGTAATCTCTATTAATCTCCAGTATTATTACATTGTTTGATACAATATTGTTTCATTTGATATTATGTAAATATGAATTTTTATTTTATATTGGTTTTATTATTACCATATGTTACTTGTATTTATATTGTTTAAAGATTTAAGTTAATATTGTGTCCAGTTTGGCCCTGTAAATTAAAGGGTATTATTTTTTGATAAAGTGTGTGCGGTTTCATTTTCTTAAGTACCGATTTAAGAACCGTTTAAGCACCGGAACCGTTTAAAAAATACCGAGTAGGTACTGGAATCGGATAAAACCCAAACGATACCCAACCCTAGTCCCAATATACATACTTATGCTATCCCCTAAAAGTATGTACTGTTTTTGTGAAGAAAAAGTACATACTTTTGACCGTGCAGAAAAGTAGGCAAGTTTTAGGTACTACGTACTACTACGCCTTTAACGGACCGCAGACCAGTGATTCATTAAACCACTAACTCATCGGAATTCATTCAACTACACTGATTCATTCAGTAATGCCACTTATGCTGCTTGGGGAACCTCAATAGTTCATTCCGCTGTAGCTTTGTTTGAAAATGGACAAAAATGCAACGGGCAATACCATGTCTAAAATGTAAGTTACTCAATATTAATGCCTGTTTTATAAAATAAATAACATATTCACGATCATGCATTCTTGAATAATTCACAAACCCTTGTGACAGTTATATCACGCCATGTTAACTGAAAAAAACACTATTTTGGAAACAGCTGAGCTGCTGTCACTGCAAAATATAATTAAGTGAATGAATCACTACTTTTAGTAAGTTACTCCCAAAAACTGCAGATAGGATAGGATCCTTTGGGACTGCGGTGGCGTTTGATAGGCGACCGCTGGGGATTTTTTTCATGAGCACATTGAGCACAAGGACACTAATAAAAGCTTTTTCTGTTGTACTCCTACCTGCATGAGGTGTCATCAGAAACGGAAGCTTGATGGGTGAGAGCGAGAGCAGGTGGAGAGGGTGAGCGGAAGAGACAGATGGTCCCTGTGTCACGTCAGAATCCATCGCCATCATGGCTGCTGCTGCCAGAGCGATGCGTTTCGAGCTTCCTCTTCGCTTAATGGCCACGGGACATCCTGAAAAGACAAATACAGATTGATAAATAGTTGACTTTGGATATAACACTGTATGTTTTGGCTGGCCACTCTTTTGCTGGTCAATCTAACAAAATGTGATAATTAATGTTTAATTTAATGGTTGCACTTGAACTGGGATGGGAAAATTGTCCCAGTAAATCAGTAATGTCTGTGTGGATGTGGATTTTCTTCTTCATAATCAAACTATCTTTTTTCCATGTTTGTTTTCTATGCTGTTAATATGAAATATATGAAGGCAGATTACATATAGTTATCTAGTCTTTGTTCTGGGGTTTAACTGGCTGCCAAATGTTTCATGGGCTTTGCCTTTGAGTTTCATCAAAGTGTTGGAAACCTTATCAAATCTGAACACAATCCCAAACCCTCACACACAAATATCTACTATATGTGAGTCCGTGAACAAGCCAAACTCTATAACTGCACATTAGAGACATTAGAAGAAATGTGGTTTGTAATTGAATTATGTGGAGTTATGACCACCATGCAAGCAAAGTCAACTTCATCCTACATTTATGCATTTGGCAAATGCTTTTTGCTGCAAATTAAAAAAAAAAAGTATAATGTGCATAAAGTTACAGGCTATCCATAGCCGTTATATCAGTATGTGCGCATGCTGGGAATCAAATCCATGACCATGGTGTTACAGCGAGCTCTACCAACTCCATATATCGTAGTTTCCATAGCATTTCATTAAAAAAATTGCAAGCCAGTGTGTTTTTTAAGAACTACACTGTAAAAAAAAAAAAAATGTTGAAAGGAAATACCATTTCAGTCTTTCTACTTCAAAATGTCACATTCATTTCAATGTGATACATGCCGTTTGTAATTACTTGATAAATTTACTAGCAATTTCTGAGTGAAAACTGTTTCCACGTGATTTTTTTCAGTGTATGAATTTTTAAAGATCTAAAACTGATATTATATGTAATTACCGAAGAGCTATTGAATGTAAACATGAACAACAGCAGTGACTCCCATAAAGCGCAGCGAATAACACTCCAGAATACACTGACTCCAGCCACACCATCTAATGACTTGTGTATTTGTATATGTTTGAATATTTTGCCATAACCAACACATTGTATTTTACATTATAATCAATGAATAAAAGTGACACATTGAATTAAAATGTGACATTTTGAAGTAGAAAGACTGAAATAGTTCTAATAAAGTAGTAAATACCTTGCTGTTTTTCATGATTTTTACTATATTTTTTGCTCACATGAAGGTTTCAATGTGATTTGCTTTGGTTCATGGTTTAGAAATCTTTCTTTTTTGGGGCGTTTTTGCCTTTATTATGATAGGACAGTAAGCAGACAGGAAGGGAAGTGGGAGAGAGAGGGGGGACGGGATCTGGAAAGGTCCGCGAGCCGGGGCTCGAACTCGGGTCGCCATCGCTATATGTCATGGTTAAGAATTCTTTATTGCAGATGTTTTTGAAATGCCTAGCCGAAGTGGATGGTAGTTGTGCTCTACAATGTACCTAACTTCACTGTGTTGTCAAAACCATGATGAAGATCCCTTATTAGTCACCTTGGTGAGCTAACACACACATGCTCGTCTCATCTCCACCGTTTCCAGCGCCTGCCTCCCCTGAGCGAGGGAAATGCTATTTAACGAAACCTTGAAGAGATCTTTGGAGTGAGCAGGCGGGGTGTTTCTTCCACGCTGAGCAGCTGAAACACTTTATCTAATGGTACAGAGTGGGCGGATCAGAGCCAACCAGAGCAGTTAGCATGCACATGTAGCGCACTGGAAATCAGGCCACCTGGGAATATATCATATGGAACGGCTCCAGCACATCCACTCTCCCATACTGCGAGAATGCTTTAGAAGGAGGAAACACAGAGGGTTGGGGAGGGAGGAATACTCTGTCATCTGACAGCTGAAGCAAAGGGTATGGGGACTGTGGATTAAACTCTACTAACCTTTTAGCTTGAAAGTAATGATAAATGTGGATCTAACTGCTTCACTTTAATACCTAGCCGCTGGAGATGAAGTGACAGGTGCACAGATCACATAAACAATGCATCGTTCATCAGGAAGCGCTCTCCGCGGACATGACGTGAAATAGAAACCTTGAACTATACATCCACTGAGGGCTTCTCTTGAGAGCCAGCCCGGCACGCCATGTGACTTTAGCAGAGGTAAATCCTCAAAAGTAACACTGCTCGGAAAATAGCACTCATGATATATAATAAAACCTATTTCTTTATTTTGTCGCTGGGTGCTGCCTTTTGACAGGTTTAACAAAGAAGGAGAAACACTATAAATACTACGGTGGCCAAAGGCTGCAGGAATGAGGGCATTTTCCCAGTCTCAAGGGGAGCAATTATTGCTGTGCTCCTAAGAAGTGTCCTCAACCCTGCCTAAAACAAGTCCTTACGCTTTATGCTTTCACAAGTTACGTTTGAACCACAGTCAGTGTTTGTTTTGACATCTCAGCCATTTACCCCATGATAGTTCTTCGAGCTGTACAGTAATGAACTCTCCCAGAAATGTTTCTTTTTGTTACAGTATATGAAAGTTGCATTAAATCTAAAATGAAAAAATATGAAATATGAGCATGTATTTTTAGATTGTATGTTTCCCTTATCCCAGATACTTCAACAGAGGTAATATACTATAATATTTAAATAATAATATTTTATATCTATCACAAAAATATTTTTTTCATAGCAAGTAAAAAACCAAGAAGCTTTTTTTTTGTGAATAAATATTTATTTATAAACTTTCCCTTAGTCACCACAACCAACAGTTTGGGCACTAATACATTTTTATCCAAAGTTACAAAATGACAAATATAAGACAAGACAAGCGTTAAAGGTCAAATTATGCAAATGGAAGATTGTTTCCGCCACGGAACAAAAAACTGCGTCATAAATCACAATTTAGAAAAAAAAAAAACATTTCATAATTTTTTACACCTCACAATTCAGACTTTTTTTCCGCAGAATTGGGTCAGAATTGTGGGGGGAAAACTTGCATAATTGCAAAAAAAATAAAAAATAAGGTATAATTGCAAGTTTATATTTCACAAAATATATTATTTCTCAGAATTGCGAGTTTACAAAATATACACTCACCGCCCACTTTATTAGGTACCCCATGCTAGTAACGGGTTGGACCCCCTTTTGCCTTCAGAACTGCCTCAATTCTTCGTGGCATAGATTCAACAAGGTGCTGGAAGCATTCCTCAGGGAGTTTGGTCCATATTGACATGATGGCATCACACAGTTGCCGCAGATTTGTCGGCTGCACATCCATGATGCGAATCTCCCGTTCCACCACATCCCAAAGATGCTCTATTGGGTTGAGATCTGGTGACTGTGGAGGCCATTTTAGTACAGTGAACTCATTGTCATGTTCAAGAAACCAATTTGAAATGATTAGAGCTTTGTGACATGGTGGAAGTAGCCATCAGAGGATGGGTACATGGTGGCCATAAAGGGATGGACATGGTCAGAAACAATGCTCAGGTAGGCCGTGGCATTTAAACGATGCCCAATTGGCACTAAGGGGCCTAAAGTGTGCCAGGAAAACATCCCCCACACCATTACACCACCACCACCAGCCTGCACAGTGGTAACAAGGCATGATGGTTCCATGTTCTCATTCTGTTTACGCCAAATTCTGACTCTAACATCTGAATGTCTCAACAGAAATCGAGACTCATCAGACCAGGCAACATTTTTCCAGTCTTCAACTGTTCAATTTTGGTGAGCTCTTGCAAATTGTAGCCTCTTTTTCCTATTTGTAGTGGAGATGAGTGGTACCCGGTGGAGTCTTCTGCTGTTGTAGCCCATCCGCCTCAAGGTTGTGCGTGTTGTGGCTTCACAAATGCTTTGCTGCATACCTCGGTTGTAACGAGTGGTTATTTCAGTCACTGTTGCCCTTCTATCAGCTCGAACCAGTCTGGCCATTCTCCTCTGACCTCTGGCATCAACAAGGCATTTCCGCCCACAGAACTGCCGCTCACTGGATGTTTTTTCTTTTTCGGACCATTCTCTGTAAACCCTAGAGATGGTTGTGCGTGAAAATCCCAGTAGATTAGCAGTTTCTGAAATACTCAGACCAGCCCTTCTGGCACCAACAATCATGCCACGTTCAAAGTCACTCAAATCAACTTTCTTCCCCATACTGATGCTCGGTTTGAACTGCAGGAGATTGTCTTGACCATGTCTACATGCCTAAATGCACTGAGTTGCCGCCATGTGATTGGCTGCTTAGAAATTAAGTGTTAACGAGCAGTTGGACAGGTGTACCTAATAAAGTGGGCGGTGAGTGTATATATTTTTTTTATTATAAATGTTGCCAACTAATATAAATAAGTTGTGAGTTGTAGGATAATAAGTATAAAAATAAATTACTAAAACTAAAATAAAAATTAATTAAAGCCAAACAGAAATATAAAAAACACAGAAAACTGATAAAAAAGACAAAATCACATCAAATAACTAAAACTTAAACAAATTAAAATGAAAAATAAAAGCTAATTCAAAATGTGTGTGTGTGTGTGTGTGTGTACGTGTGTGTGTACGTGTGTGTGTACGTGTGTGTGTACGTGTGTGTCTGTGTTGACGTCTAAGTGTGACATGTTTCTAGCAATCTCTCCCATCTCTCTCAGGGGGTCTTGTTTCAGAGAAATTGAGCAGAAAGATTCAGGCCAAGACAAGGGTAAATGTAGCGGGAGCCTTCAGCGCTCTGGAGCTGTCCGTCCTGCTGCGGTGCTGAAATGGCGAGTGATTGCACTTATGAAACTTTGGGCCACTTATGTGTGCTTCAGACTACACTGCCATCATCTTGATCCACAAAGAGGCTCTGTGTCAGAGTGTCTGTCTCTCTCACTATGCTGTCCTCCCACTGTTACCTTAGTTACCTGGTTAACAAACCACCTACAACTTATTCTGTTGAATTATGCCATCAGTCTCCCCAAACTCCTTCTGTAACATAAAGGCCAGATAATGCTGAGCACCTCT